CCAAGTTCGGCATTATGGCTTTGCTCTAATGAGGAGTCCTTTTTTTCTATCGGTCAGCTTCTGTCCCTACCTCGACCCACGAACGTGAGGTCCTAGCACCCTAGAGTCCATCCTCAACCACGAGGATCCTGGGACTCGACCCCCAGAACTTGAGTCGTCATCGCTCGGCCGTTCAACACGGCCTCGAAGGCGCTCGGGAAAAAAATTTCAATATTTTTTCTTTAATTTGTTTAATGTCATCCCTGAACTTTTGGTACACGTTTCATTCAGTCCCTGAACTATATGAAAATGTTCAATGTAGAATTAAAAGTTCAGGGACCACATTAAACATTACCCTAAAGTTCAGGGATTACGTTGAACAAATTAAAAGTTCAAACATCAAATTGCACATTAGGCTAGAGTTCAAGGACTATTTATGTTATTATCCCAAATATTCGGCCGGGTATTCGTTTATAAGTTGAGCTATATCGATTTTAGCAACAACAAAAAAAAAAAGTTGAGCTACATCGAATTTTGGAAAAAACGATATTTTTATCCTATTATCAACTGGTCTGGCAATACAACGAAGAAAAAGCAACCTTTCCTTGATCCTTCGTAGAGAAAGAGGAGGAAGAAGAAGAAGAAGCGACTTCCATGGTGACTACTACGAGCCGATCTCGATACTGACTCCTCTCTTCCTGTCGATGCTCGTGGCTCTGTGTGATGGCTTCATGAGTGACGCAGAGGAAGATAAACTTGGAAAAGAATTCCAAAAGATAACGTTTATTCTGAATATTGAAGTATTATTTACAATATCTAAGGTGCCTATTTATAGAGAGGTCACCCTTTGAGAAACAACTAAATATTTAAAATCAAATAACATAATTAAGGAAAACAATATTGATAAAGGGGAAAGTCTTCAAAACGCATTCCGAAATCTGCAAATCACGTCCGAAATCTTTGAAGGCTTGAAAATCAAGGATTATCTTTAAGGATCGGAAATCAAGGATTTTGATCCGTCATTTAAAACGAGGGCGGGACCGCTCGCTCTTTTGACGCTCGAAAGTTTCCATATAAGCATTTGCTATTAGTTCTACATCAGTCTCCTCCACTTTAGAAGAACTCGACCCCGAGTTATTGTCAGGATAAAGCGGAATGTCTGAAGAGTGATACTCGAATAGGTTCGCCACATTGAATGTTGGAGAGATATTAAGATCATCAGGAAGATCAATAACATAAGCATTGTCATTGATCTTTTTGATAATTCTGCAGGGACCAATCTTCCTGTTCTTCAACTTATTATATGTACCAACAGGAAATCACTCCTTGCGTAGAAAGACCATGACTTCATCGCCTACTTCAAAAGTTTTGGAACGACGTCGCTTGTCAGCATGCTCCTTATACTTGGCATTGGACTCAGCAAGTTGGCGTGCAACGTCAGCTTGAACCTCCATAATTTTTGTCGCCAAATTTTCTGCTGCTACACTATAACCAGGAATCTTAGGTAGAGGGATCAGATCAAGTGTATGCTGAGGCACACGACCATAAATAACTTCAAATGGAGACTTCCGAGTGGATCGATTAATCGTATTGTTGAAAGCAAATTCTGTCGGGGCAAGATATCGATCCCACTGTTTTGGCGTGTCATTGCAAAGACAACGAATGATGTCCGCCATTGTCCGATTAACCACTTCAGTCTGCCCATCAGTCTGAGGATGGAAGGAACTACTATACTGCAAATTAGTTCCAAACAACTTCCATAGAGTCCTCCAGAAGTGACTGAGGAACTTAGTATCTCGATCAGAAGTAATTGTCTTTGGAACACCATGCAAACAAACTACTTCGCGGAAGAAAAGGCCAGCAACATGAGAAGCATCGGATGTCTTCTTACAATGTATAAAGTGTGACATCTTTGTAAATCGATCCACTACCACAAAGATAGAATCCATACCTCGTTGAGTTCGCGGAACTCCCAGAGCAAAATCCATGGATATATCCACCCAAGGTCCGGTTGGAATTGGCAATGGCATATAAAGGCCAGTATTCTGTGAATGCCCTTTTGCAACCTGACAGACAGGACACTTCTGCACAAAACGCCCAACGTCCCGCTTCAATTGTGGCAAAAAATATCGCTCCTCCACCAAGGCGATGTCCCCCAAGACTTCCTCCATGTAGCTCTCGAATCAGTTTCTCTCGAAGAGAACTTCGGGGAATACACAATCTGTTGCCATAAAACAAGAATTTATCGCATATAATCATATCACCAGCAGAACCAGTAGCTTGACACTTTGCCCAAGTGTCTCGAAAATCCTCATCGTAAGATCGCATAAAGACTCAAAACCCACTACTTCGTTCTTCATGGTAACCAATAATGCGGTTCGACGCTTAAAGCATCAGCCATTTTGTTCAGATGACCCGCCTTATGTCGAAGCACAAAATTAAATTGCTCCAAGAAAGAAACCTAGCGCTCATGCATCTTACTTAAATGTTTTAGGCCCTTGATGTCACGCCCCGAATCCTACGACGTGCGAACATCCCTCCAAGGTCCATTACAAGTGCGACGTCCCAGACACGCCGACCCAACGCCCAACACAGAGATTAAAGCACACGCGGAAGTAATACAATACCCGAACAGTTTTGAAACAAATGGCCAAGGATAGCCACTCAAAGAAACAACATGAACAATTACACTTGCGTTGATACTGGGCACTGTACACAATATTCAACTACGCCCATGCTCAAAATCAAAAGCAGCTCAAGGCTACTACAACTAGCCGGGCTCCTCCCAAAACACTTGGACGCCCGCCATCCTCAAGGCCGGGGTCCGAAATGTGGTTTAAACAACAATGAGAATAATCTCATGAGTAATTCCCTAAACCTAAACTAGGCTAACGTGCACCTCCAGAGGGTAAATAAAACACATAAATCACCGAACCAAGATAACAATCAATATAAGTTCACCCGGGCCCATAGCCCAATTCACTACTCCGCCATGCAAAGTTAGACTTTTAATATCATTATAAACATATGCGAGTAAATCGACCCGAAGGCCACGACCCCGGGCCAACAATGCTTGCCGACCGAAGGCCACGACCCGAAGGCCACAGCTTTGTCCCGACCCGAAGGCCAGCGCTTATCTCGACCCGAAGGCCCGACCCGAAGGCCACGCTTATTCCGACCCGAAGGCCCGACCCGAAGGCCACGTTTATCTCGATTGAAGGACCCAAGGCCCGACCCGAAGGCCACGCTTATTCCGACCCGAAGGCCCGACCCGAAGGCCCGTTTATCTCGACCCGAAGGCCAGCTTTATCTCGACCCGAAGGCCACGCTTATCTCGAATTCAAGGCCGCTATTCCGAAGGCCCGACCCAAGGCCCGACCCGAATGCCACAGGTTTATCTACTCGGCCCGTCATGTATACCAATGCACTCTGCCGGCTAATGGCAAGGATGATATGCGATTCATATGCCCGAGAATCCAAAGTCAATTTCCCGTGCCAAGATGCTGACACTAATTATTCACAAATTTGACAATTTCAAGGCATTAACGGCATGTTCAATCTACTCCATTTTTGCCCCAAATAAACCGGCACTTATTCCCCACACTTACTCCAATTCAATTCAATAAGCCCAAGGCCCGCCAAGCTATTCCATTCTTAGTCCCGCTAGACATGCGACATGGCATCATACAATCACATTCAAGTCACGTTTAATTTAGCATCCTCTCGGGTGATCATCGTTTCCTAAGCCGTTCACCCTAAAATCTCGAATAAACAATTATGGCCCGAATCCTCCCGATACTAAACCAGCCATGAACGGTCCGTCTTAGGCGCTCAATTCACCTTCAATTCATCACATTAGGCTCCCAATTTGCTACGAAAAACAACTACTACTCGGCCTACACAAACTAACCCCAAATTGATCGCGCCTTGTCCGATTCAAACCCGATATGGACAGCCACTAAATCGATCGTGCCGGGCCATTTAATAACCTCAAAATGTCCCATTAGACTCCCCAAGATACCATTTTAATCAACCACCATAATGCCAATTAAGGCGCGCACTAGAATCCGCATTCTAGACTCGAACTTCCCCAAACTTGGGTTATTCCATTCCAAACCTGACCAGCCATCTCTCGGCACTTACATAGCCGCGAAACCTCATCAAATGGTCACTATAATTCACCAAATCAGCCGTGACATCAACCTCTACCATCCTTTGCACAATAACCCTTAAATTACCCTAATTTAACCCCTAAACTCGTCTAGAAATGCAAATAATCCTAATTAGGGTTTAGGGTCAAACAAGAAAGGAAAAAGAAAGAAAGAAAAGAAAAGAAGAGAGAGAGAGAGAGAGAGAGAGAGAGAGAGAGTAGGTGGGGGTGGGTGTTGAGGGACGTGCGCGAGAGGGGGAAGACGCGGGGGTCGGAGGAGGGAGAGAGAGAGAGGAAATAAAAGAAAATATTTGAACATTCAAATATTATTTGCAATCCGATGGCCCAAATTAAAAACCGAAAATGGTCTACCGGTCCAAAATAAGCCTCGCACATAAAAAGGGACAAATGCCAAATTAATTAGACCAAATCATAACGAGGGAGGTCTACTAGTCCAAATTCGCACGTGGTCAAAAACTCCCCTTTTTCCATCATTCCTGACAATCTCAACATTGGTTACCATAATATTGACACCGTCCAATTTATTTGTCCCGAAACCCGGAAATCGACGCAAGTTCGGGATCCAAATAACGGCCAAATTTGATCGAGTGCGATTCTAGCGAAATCTCTAATTTAAAATGATAACCGGGAGTGATCAGTTCCCGGGCGAGATTTTACTATAAGCACACTGACAATTTACGCGTTTTATAAATCCCAAAAATGGGCCGAAATTCGGGATGTCACACTTGATGTATTTGAGCGCTTGGTGATCAGTATTGAGTATAAACTCACGCTGATAGAGATAAGGCTGCCAATTCTTAATAGCTCAAACCACAGCGTAAAATTCTTGCTTATAAGTAGACCATCAATGTCAAGCTTCATTCAATTTTTCACTGAAATAAGCAACCGGTTTACCTTCTTGCGAGAGTACCGCGCCAATTCCGACTCTCGAAGCATCACAATCTAGCTCGACCAATTTATCAAAATTCGGCAAAGTTAGAACAGGCGCAGTAGACAATTTCTCTTTTATCAAGGCAAAGCTTGCCTCAGCTACATCATCCCAGCGAAATTGCCCCTTCTTCAAACATCCTGTGATAGGTGCTAAGATAGTACTGAAATTACAAATGAACATGTGATAGAATGTCGCCAGTCCATGAAAACTCCGCACCTCCCCAACAGTCTTGGGTGTAGGCCACTCTTGAATCGCAGCAACCTTCGTCTCATCAACTCGAAGGCCATCTGCACTAACAATGTATCCCAAAAATAGCAATGCACTTGTCATAAATACTGCATTTAGGCAGATTGATATAAAGTTGATTGTTCTCCAAAACCTGCAAAACATCTCGAAGGTGGTCTACATGTTGCTGCTCATTGGGGCTATAGACAAGTATATCATCGAAATAAATCACCACGAACTTTCCCAAGAAAGGTTTAAGGACCTGCGTCATCAAGCACATAAAAGTGCTAGGAGCATTGGTAAGTCCAAAGGGCATGACTAACCACTCATAAAGTCCTTCGCTAGTTTTGAACGCCGTCTTCCATTCATCCCCGGGCCTCATACGAATCTGATGGTACCCACTCCGCAAATCGATCTTCGAAAAGATCTTTGATCCAGACAACCTGTCAAGCATATCATCCAAACGGGGAATAGGGAAGTGGAACCTCACGGTAAATTTATTGATTGCTCAACTATCCACGCACATCCGCATGCTCCCATCTTTCTTTGGTGTAAGTAAAGCAGGAACTGCACAAGGGCTCATGCTCTCTCGTATAAATCCCTTCCGAAGAAGTTCTTCCACCTTTTCCCGTAATATCTGATTCTCCTTCGGGGTCATGCGATAGTGGGGCAAATTTGGAAGACTAGCACCTGGTAAGAAATCAATTTGGTGCTGAATGTCTCGCATCGGTGGTAGTCCATCCGGTAGATCCTCAGGAATAAGACTAGAAAAAGCCTTTAGTAATGGTTGAAGTGCTTCTGGAATTTCGATGGTTTCCTGCTTAGATCCACTATCCACGATCAAGTACATACCATTCTTCTTGTGAACATTAAGTAAAACACCAGCCTTGTCCTTGTCCTGTTTTTGAGTAGTTCGCGGAACACGAGTAGCTTCATCCAAGGGACGAAGGGTAATTTTCGTCCTATCCCATACAAAAGAATAAACATTCTCAGGCACTCGGTGAGTAACATCAACATCATACTGCCATGGCCATCCCAGCAAGATGTGGCATGCATCCATCTCAACAACATCATAGATTATCATATATTTGTACGTTTTTCCAATAGAAATAGGCAAATGACAAATCTGGGTTACCTTTAATTCCGGCCCCTTATGAATCCAGCCAATCGTATAGGGCGAGGGATGAACTTCAGTCTTTAGTTGGAGATGATCGACAAACACCTGTGATACGATATTCTCGCAACTTTCGCTGTCGATGATGACGTCGCAAACCTTTCCACTAATATTGCAACGGGTGCAGAAAAGGTTATTCCGCTGTGAATCTTCCTTCCGTGGGGCTAACAGCAGTCGTCTAACCACGCAATTAACATGTTCTCCTTCTTCATCGACTATCTCTTCTTCATTCCCCCAATCCTCCTCATAAACCTCATCTTCAGGTTCGACCAGATTCGCCATCTTCCGCCGTGGACAGTCACTCGAACGGTGCCCAGGCTCATTACATTTAAAGCACTTTCCTGGATAGGGCTTGGCATAAGGATTCGGAACAACATCACGAGCCTTTGATGCAGGGGACTCATAGGGTTTGAGCGCTTCAACATTACTCCCCGAATTTCGGTTTGTATTGTTGAATTGCTGATTAGAGGACTCAGCACCCTCCTGCGATTTTCCCCGCCCGAATTGTCCTCGAGGAGCATAATTTCCCGTTCTGCTTGAGTAATTGTTTCGCTCCAACTGCAATTTCACTTTCTTGGCCATCTCTTGCGCATCCTCGACAGAGTATAAACGATGCAACGAAACACGATCTTGAATATTCAAACTTAGACCATTGATATACCTGGTGGTTTGTTGCGCTTCAGATTCGGCAAGATTATTGCGTGCCGAAAGTTGAAGGAATTCCTTCGTGTAAGCTTGAACCGTTCGACTTCCTTGTTTGCAAGCCTGAAATTACTAGAACAAAACTTGCTCAAAGTCAACAGGGAAGAATCGAAGCTTGAGTAACTACTTCATATGATTCCAAGTTCGGATAGGTGCTTTCCCTTGTCGACGCGGGGAAAGTTGTGTCTGCTCCCACTAGGCTGAGGCGCCGCCCTTCAATTTATACGCCACGAGCTTTACTTGGCGGTCCTCTTCGATCTCCATGGCATCAAAGAACTTCTCAACCTCCCAGAGCCAATCCAGAAAGTCTTCGATGTTTAAGTTGCCATTGAAGGTAGGAAGGTCGACTTTCAATTGATACTGTTCGTGTTCTCGCCGATATCCTCCATGTTGACGACCCCCACGAACATGCTCTCCTTGGAATCCTCCATAACGGCGACCTTCACAAATAGGCATGCCCTGGAAATCCTCTTCATCTTCTTCTTCAGAATCCTCGACATAGTCTTGACGCCTTTGTCGGGGATTCGCCCTTTGCTCCATAGCTACTTCGGGAACTCGAGCGACAGGAATACGCTCGGCTGGAAGATCACTAGGGTTAGGGTTAGGGTTTGCAGACAACCGTTGGATGGCGGCAAGTAATTCTTGCATCGTTCGTTGGTGGTCTCCAAGAGTTTGTCGAGTTTCCTCGGCAAACTGGGTAAATTCCTCACGTGTAACAGGCTCAGTGCCCTCAGCTACGGAGGTGTTTTGATTCACGTTATGAGACATTGTCGCAGGGAGAAACCTTGCTCTGATACCAAATGATGCAGAGGAAGATGAACTTGGAAAAGAATTCCAAAAGATAACGTTTATTCTGAATATTTAAGTATTATTTACAATATCTAAGGCGCCTATTTATAGAGAGGTCGCCCTTTGAGAAACAATTAAATATTTAAAATCAAATAACATAATTAAGGAAAACAATATTGATAAAGGGGAAAGTTTTCAAAACGCATTCCGAAATCTGCAAATCACGTCCAAAATCTTTGAAGGCTTGAAAATCAAGGATTATCTTTAAGGATCAGAAATCAAGGATTTTGATCTGTCATTTAAAACGAGGGTAGGACCGCTCGCTCTTTTGACGCTCGAAAGTTTCCATATAAGCATTTGATATTTGTTCTACATCAGTGAGGGACCGAGCTTTGCTTCACCAATCTTCCGGCGACTGCGCCGGATATTACTTGACCAGGGATGAGCTCTGGTTCAACCAAACCCTCGATCACTTCTCTCCATATGTACTCTCTCTCTCTCTCTCTCTCTCTCTCTCTCTCTCTCTCTCTCTCTCTCTCTCTCTCTCTCTCTCTCTCTCTCTCCGGATGATCTCGTTTTTTTGTTTCGCTCGATTTCATGTTGATTCGTATGTAACCGGTCGCTTGATGTTTGGTGGTCGGTGTCCTCGGGGATGAGCTACACCCGTCTGTTTTTTTCCCTCATAATTAATTCCTGCTTCCGTTTCGAAGGTTAGTCCGATTGAACTTTGAACAAATTGAGTTGGAGGACGCGATCAATTTGCTTGTGAATTGGGGTAGCGATTGATCGGATACATTAAATAAACTGTTTTTTCGCCACGCGAAATTGTGCATATTGTTTAATTACATCCGTTAACGTAATTATTAGTGAATTTCATTGGCAACCCACTTATTATGAACTCGAACAAATTTTTCTATATTTTCTCTGTCGAAATACACACAAGAATTCGAAGATTTCTGTGGCCCATTCCTTGAAACGAGAGATGATGCAATATTAGTATTTGCAAAATAAGTACAGAAGGCCAATAGTTGACAATGTTATATTTATAATGTGATCCCACAATAAGGGATATAGTTTTTGAAATAAAAACTTATCCGTTGGGTTTAACCCACGTTTTTTTCTTTTAAGTGACAGTTATCTACATACGGTTTTTTCCATGCTTCGTACCCCTTCGGTGACAACTGCCCTCTTCGGTAACCGCCTTGATGGGAAGCGGTTTATAAAGACGAACATTCATTCCGTAAGGACAGACACAAAGTCTAACACAAACCCTCTCATTCGGTAATACACCATCAGTACACGAAGGGATTGGGTTAGTAGAGTGCGCCCGTAATCGCTATCGAATTGCCGTCGAACTACTGTGGATTTCCAACGAACGTAAACTTGAACAATGGCTGGAGGTCAGTTTATTTTCGATCTTGTTTTCCGCATTTGATTCTAATTTTGCTCGAATTCTGTTCTTCAATGCATGATTAGAATCCTTCAGTTTTATTCTAACAGGCAACACATCTAAATTAATGCACTTGACCATGTTTTGCATGGGTTTGATCTCCAAGTATTGTTAATATTTGTTAATTGCTAAAACTCATATTACCCTTTTGCACATTCTACTTCTGTGATTACAATAACGGATTCTACATTGTGTTTCTGGACATACACTGAAGTTTTTCCGCCCTTTTTATCTTTTTGTCTTCTGACTTTGAAGTTGAAGTTGTTATGCCATTGTGGATTGTCATGAAGCGACTCAACATGTAATGTAGGGGAGCACTATAACTGAATTTCTTTTATGGCGATCTTCAGAAAAGGGCATCATGCTATTGCTAACTCTTGGAAATTGAATTTTCATTATCAGGATCATTGTCAATTTGCGCAGCGCTACTATGAGTTCCTTGACTACTTCCAGCTTCGGGATGGACCGATATTTCTGAAAATCTGCGGTGAATCTGAATGTAATGGGATAGTGAATGACTACATTAGTGTAAGTGCTACTTTGCTCAGTGTTCTGCTAGCTTTTGGCTAGTATAAGCATGCCAATTGCAAATCACTATGAAGCAGTTAGCATCCCACTAAGCATTATACTGGCACATTCAGAGAGAAAAATTTGGAATTTCATGGTTATCCTAAGCTGTGATTCTTTGAAAAATTTTCCCCTTGTTAATTCATGCAGGTTTTGGCAAAGAAGTTTGGAGCTGCTGTCGTTTCACTTGAGCATCGGTACCATGGGAAGAGTTCTCCTTTCAAATCATTGACAACAACAAATCTGAAATACTTATCATCTAAACAGGCACACTTCGACTTGGCTTCCTTTCGTCAATTTTATCAGGCAAGTTTTCGTATCTGTTAAGCATGTGATTAACCATGAATGACAATGGCGATAGAAGTTTCATAAAGAAACCTTGATTTTCGGGAGAGATGGTCTGAAACTCGGAAAAATCATCAATGAAGTAATCTTGTTACTAGTCAAAACTAGTATTATTTTGATCTACGACTGGGATGTGGTCAAAGTGTCCTTTTTTTCACTTGCAAAAAGATGTTGATGCAGAGCTGACTAAAAATTTAGCACATGGGGGAAGAAATTGATTTAGGTATCATTTGCATGCTGTGCACATGACATGAGAACAATCCCTCCGAGCAGTTGAATGACCTGCCTTTGTTTTTGTTTGATTGAAGTGTTGGCTCTGATGGGTATTACTGCATTTGGAAAACAAGGGTCGCTGGAATGAGAAGATTTGGCTTTACACTATCCTTCCTGCGAATATCAGATATTAATTTGATTGTCATGTGTTTGCAAGTGATGCTTATTAAATATGGCTAATTCATGTGCTAGATTCTTTTGAAAGAAACTTTTAGCATTTCTTCTAGAAAGTCTTTACTTCTGTGTGTTGAAGTGAGTCTCCCTTTCACATGATGTCTGCTAGCGGTCTGACTAGTTAGCTGTTTTGACACTATGTGCAGGATTCAGTAAATCTGAAACTCAATAGAACAGATGCCGAAAACCCCTGGTTTGTTTTCGGCATTTCTTATTCTGGAGCTCTCAGTGCATGGTTTCGTCTTAAGTTCCCTCATTTGACATGTGGAAGTCTTGCAAGTTCTGCTGTTGTTCAAGCTGTGTACGATTTCCCTGAATTTGACCGGCAGGTAAGGACAATCTTTATTGCCAGTATTGTCCTTCTAACTTGCCAGAAGACCAAGAAGTTGGGGATTATGATTATGTTGTGAGGTCCATTTTGATGTTTGGCTGCTGTCTTCAGCCTTTGTGGTGTTCCAGTTGATCTGTATTGAGAAATACTTGGAAATATTATCTGACTAAATAAAACATTCTACTGTTGTTTCCAACTTTAGATTGGTGCTTCAGCTGGAATGGAATGTAAGGCTGCATTGCAGGAAGTAAATCAACTTGTTGAGCAACAGCTTGCATCAAATGGAAAGGCATTGAAGGAGTTGTTTGGTGCTGCTGAGGTTCGAATTCCTCTTTCCTTAAAACGGCGATTATGTCTTCAGAAATGTGTTTAGCTCTTGTACAATGTGTAATCCTTTTTATCCCTCTTCTTTTTTAAAGTAATCTTTCTCATACTCTGCAGCTTGAGATCGATGGTGACTTCTTGTATTTTCTGGCAGACGCTGCTGTTACAGCTGTAAGCATATCGTTTTTCATTTGTGTTTATTTTGTTGCTTTACAAGGTAATGATATTCAAGATTTCATCATCCACAGTTCCAATATGGAAATCCCGATAAATTGTGCTCTACTCTTATTCAAGCTAAAGAAGGATGGGGAGGATTTGGTGGTAAGAAACTTTTTCCTGCCTTAACCTCATTCTTTCGTTGTATTCTAGAGCTTTATGGAAGTAAATGTTCAAGATGTCTGTATATCAAATTGTACATAATTTTACTAGCTTTGCCAAATAGAATAGCATAGTTGAATGCTTTTGGGAGATTTTTTTGAGTTGAGATGATTTAGTCAGATCAAAGGCATGGTTATCATTCATGCATGCTTGAAGAGCTTCCTTGAGACAATGAAATTTCTCCACATATATACTATTCCCTGGACAGTAGGATGTTTGCCATTATTTCGATGCCATCCACAAAATTAATCTTCTCTTTCTATGCGGTGGGATTCCTAATTTTTAGCAACACATACCCATTAGACATTTATGAGTGATTTGTGTCTTATGATGCTTCTTGAACAAGTGCAATAATTAATCATAGTCAATAATTAATCCACTTTATTTAAATATCTGTCATCATTTGCCTACAAATTATTTTCTGTGGAGTAGCTGTGCAAACAGATATTCAATATTATTGTGATGCAAGCTTTATCTGAGTGAACCTGGGTCACCTAAAACAAATCGAGGGTGTGCTCCTCCTTTTTAGCTTTTGTTCTGAGATTTATTTGGTCAAATTGAAATGTTTATGCAGGGTGCATATGCCAAATATGTTAAAGACAATTATGCAGACAGTGTTAGTTATAGTCAAAAGCACTTGAAGAACACAGCTCTTGATGAAGATAGGAGCGATCGGCTGTGTTGGTTCCAAGTTTGCACTGAAGTTGCATACTTTCAGGTAGCCCCCTCCAATGACAGTGTCCGCTCGTCAAAAGTTGACACAAGGTGTTCTTATCTCCATACTCTTCATTCCTTGTTTCATTAGTTTTCCATGTGTAATCTTATACCCAAGTCGATATTTCTTGTGTTGCAATAGATACCATTTAGAACTTTGCAAGAACGTGTTCGGCCAGGGAATAAATCCTGATGTTGACGCAACAAATTTATACTATGGGGGCACAAGAATAGCAGGTCTGAGCACTAATCTTTCTAGTTTGACTCGTTAGCGTTTCGCTATCCATGCGTTTAAGAATCATATGGATTTTCTCTCCAGAATTGACTGGACATTTCTGTGGTTCTTGATGCCCCTTTAATCGAAAAGTTCCCATATTTTTCATTTAGGAGATTTGGCGGCTGTCAATTTCTGAGCTTATCCTTTTCATGAAAAGCCAAGCAACAAATAAAATCCGACATCTGAATCTGGAACACACATTTACGAAAGCCCAGATGGATGGAACTGTTTCATATATTAAGAGTTTCATGCAATGTCCATTCCCTGTTTTCTGGGACCCTTATAAGTAAACTGATTGTAACTGACGATCGAGCTGAGATTAATGTATTTGTAGTTAGCGTTCTTCAATTTATGCTTACAGTGAGTCTTTCTGCATAAATTGATAGGCATCAATGAAAAGTCATATCAAGGGCTGAAAATGAATCTGGTTAAATAATGGCGACAATAAACCAAAAGAAATATATTAGTGCATTACACATTATGAGCATATTCTGGAATCTGCACATAGCTTTTTTTCATCAAAGTTATCTATTTGAGAGCCCCAAAAGTTAAAGCTGTCAAGAAACAGGCTCCTAATGTATATCTAGCATGCTTTTTCTATACTCCACCTCGAGTGTAAGGCCTTACACATCCACGAGATAATTAGGGAGCAGACAAATATGCGTAATGAATATAGGAGAGTGTCAAGATTCGAACTCATGATTGTGCTCTAAAACTATCTTAGCTTCAGGCGACAGTTTTCCCTATAAGTGTAATCTGTCAGGAAATAGGCTCACATTATATATATAACATACTTCTTATAAAAAAGAAACTCGCGTGCTTCCTTTTGACATTAAGGTGTAACTTTGCCAGGCTCAAAGATAATTTTCACAAACGGCTCTCAAGATCCATGGTGGCATGCTTCAAAACAGATCTCTTCACCAGATAGTAAGTTCCCATGATTTCAGACAACCATTTACCAGTTTTTGTTAGCCACTGGTTTCAATTAGTGAAGAGTAGAGCATGATCGTGAAGTTTCTCTTTGGTTTCAAGCTAGCAACATGCTTAACACACACATTCCATGAGATGATGACATAAACCTGAACTTCCCAACGCATTTTGACATTAATCTTTCTCTTGCATAAATATCAATAGTATTCATCGTTGCAATTGTTAATTACATGGAGAACAATTTATGGTGTCGTGCTGTTAGACTGAACGATGATGAAGAATTACCGTGTGCGTTGATGTCTTTGGTTAAGAATATAAAATGAAGTGCCTCTACAAACTGTCAAAGATCTTTCCACGTGATACGTCTTTGGTCTAGTACATCTGCAGTTACATGTTCATATGGGGTTCCATTGCTTATGCTTTTTGGACCTCTCTCTGTCACTCTCTTTCATACTGAAATTACTGTTGAATTTCGACTGTTGTCAGTGCCTTCCTACCTCATCTCCTGTCATAATTGCGGACATGGAACTGATATGCGAGGGTGCCACAGTCTCCTCTGAGCCTTGAAGGTCTGGACGGCTTGGATCTACTTACATGCTGCATAAAGTTACGAAATATTCATGGTTGCAGCTACTGTATGCCGGTTCATTGGGAGACTTGCATTTTCCAGTGGTGAATGCGCAGCAGAACTGAACGTTGTCACTGTGGAAAATGGAAATTTCAGTTTGATTCTTGCATGAATTATTTGTGGATATTGCTGCGTGCTATGCCTATTTTCTTCTCATTTTGGCTCTTCTTCTGCTGGTCCCGACGGTTTCAAGATATGATTATTTTCTTTAATAAACTCATGATTTTGCCCCCTTACAAAGACAAAATTTGAAATGAAACATACAAAGCAAAAATAAGTGTTTGCCGTCTCCTGATATTAGAAGAGATGAGCAGAAGGAGAAGATGAAAATGAAGTGCGGCACTAAGTGAATTATTTAAAAATAAGAAATATAATGGAATTGTTGAGAACATGTAGTCCTAGTGTGTGTGCAGTTGAGTTTCTCCTCCTGGCGTGGCAACTGAGCAATGATTAGTGAGGATTGAACCCTTGATATCATCTCCTGCTAAAGTTTTCCCAGCCACTGGCCACTTAATTAGTATGACTTCTGTTTGAACGTGTTTTTGCAGTTTAGGAAAAGCAAATATCCTGTGCAATTCAAATACTTTTGTCTCTAGTAAAGAAAATTTTCGAGGTTTACATTGTCCGAGTGTCATGCTTCTTTCAGGCGACGCCCAGAACTGCAGCTCCCCAGATGCGGTCCACAAAGTAAGGCAACAGATCACAGAAAACATAGACTTCTGGCTGTCTGAATGCCAAAATAGTGGTAGGAGCTCTATCTGAAGTACATGCTCATGGTGAACGTGAATTTGGGAGGTGGTTCTCTGCCTAACCGTGATATCATGATAAACTTTTCAGGAGATGCTTAATTCTAATTTATGAAGGGTACTGTAATGCTCATCCTGGTCATGCTTAGTTGCACTTGTCTATCCAGGACTTGGTGTGAATCGACAATTGCAATAATTTGCCTTTGCTTCGCCCTGTAATTGTTCTGTCAATACCTTGACCTGTAAATATAGAATAAATACTCCAACGATGTAAAATGGCTGTAGTAACTCATTTTGATTATATTCCCGGTCAATCTCCTTACTTCCATCTTCCCTTCTTTAAAATGTTGCCATTCATCTGATGTGATGAAGTACACAGAAGTCTGCTTTCTTTGACCGTCTCTGATACTAGTGTCTAAAACAAATCGTTTGTGCCCCATGAGGGCTAGTTTCCCAAGCTGGAAATGCTTTGACATCTTCCAATATGAAAGACTAGCATCAGATCAGGTTAAGAGTATGGAAAGACGACTCTTCTGCTCTTGTTGATTTTATCGCAGTTATGTGGATTAGCATTCGAACCGATCGCCAATTCAACCACTTTATAAGCATATGTTATGATGGTTCATCAGATACGCCTGCACGTGTGTTTATGCCAAGTCCGAGTCGATTGAGTGAGTTCACCTTCACATGAAGGAGCAAATTACCCCCAGTTCCCTTCACATTCTCTGGCAAGGTTCTTTTGATTCTGGTAGAAGAATTTGAGTTGAGCGTTGCAAGTACCTTGGTAACATCAATTAAGAAAACTAACGATAAGAAAATCACCCAATGAGACTTTGGGAGGCTCGACCTCGCCGGCGCGGGCGAGGGCCACTCTCGCTAGATCAGGCGAGGGCAACCCTCGCCCGACACTGGCAAGGGTCGCCCTCCCCAGATCCGGCGAGGGCAACCCGACTCAAATGAGGACTGCCCTCGCCCAACTCAAGCGAGGGTCACCCGACGCCGGTGAGGGCACCCTCGCCCGACTTAGGCGAGGGCCACCCTCGCCCGATCTCGCAAGGGCGACCCTCGCCGGCGTCGGGCGAGGCTAGCCCTAGCCCAACTCAGGCGAGGGCGACTCGCTTGAGTCGAGCGAGTGCAGCCCTCGCTCGACGCCAGCGAGGGTCGCCCCCGCGAAATCTGGTGTGGGCGGCCCTCACCAATAGCCCTCGCTTGGGAGGGCGAGGGTCGCCCTTGCCAGATCCGGCGAGGGTAGCCCTCGCTTGAGTCGGGTGAGGGCTGCCCTCGCCGGTGTCAAGCAAGGGCGACTCGCCTGAGTCGGGCGAGTACAGCCCTCGCTCGACGCCAGCAAGGGTCTCCCCCGCAAAATCGGGTGTGGGCGGCCCTCGCCGACAGCCCTCGCTTGGGCGGGCAAGGATCGCCTTTGCCAGATCCGACGAGGGTAGCCCTTGCTTGAGTCAGGTGAGGGCCGCCCTCGCCCGCGCCGGTGAGGTCGAGCCTCTCTTGTGGCCAGAGGGGCCAACCTCGCCGGCTTCCGCCTAGCGACCAGGCAAAGGTTGAAGATGAAGAAAAGAAAAAAGAAAAAAATTAATAAAAAATTCGAAAAATAAAATATAATATTAAAAATTTAGTTCGGGTAAAATTGTCACATGTGTACCAGTTTGGGATTTTTGATGGTCAAAAAAATAGTAAGGGGTAAATTTATCACAAGTGTACCAGTTTGGGGGTTTTTTGTGGTATGTTCGAAGTAAAATTATCACAGGTGTACCAGTTTTGGATTTTTTGTGGTAAAAAAAAAAGTTCGGGGTAAAATTATCACACGCGTACCAATTTGGAGTTTTTGGTGGTATTAACCCTTTCATAAAAGCCCACGTTAGAAACCACTAATAGCAAAAATTTGCATTTTCAACGGAATACTTGTTTCGCAGAAACTTTACCCCATAATGACAAAGGTATTAACAATGGTATATACATTAAATTTTCAAATTTTGTTTTTGGTCTGTAATTTGCAAATTGATTTGCCAGATTCTTATTGGGTATGTGAATAGAACATACTTAATTAATCACTTTCAGATGGTCACATAATTTGTAAACCTATTTTTATTTTTTTAACAAATATCCCTACCATTAGTCGACTTCAATTACTTCTCAGTAAGCCCCACAAGCAATTTCATGAAGCTGCAACTTCCATCGATGCATACCACAACGTCAAATATCATTGCTCGCATGACATCATGCTCCACAAAGATGAGTTTCAGAAGAATGGAATGCAAAAACTTACCGGTCTTTTTTTTTATTTTTGGTCACTGAAAAACTTACCATAGTCAAAAAGGTCACTATAGTTCATTTTCACAACTTTTTCCTTTTCCAAACAATAAAACAGCCATCTAAAAATTGTTGATCCTATACCAGCATTTTCATTGAACAAATGTTAGAAATGAAGGAGGCTCGCACTGTCAATGGATACATGATTACCATCAAGAGGTATCATGAAATTGGAGAATGAAGAAACCAAGAACACTCTCATATCAGGCCACTTTCAACCAAAATTGGGGTCTTCTCGAAGGTCACCAAATTTCCTACTTCAGGTAAGTAGAAGAAACCCAGAGCAGAATGCAGGTTATAAGTGAATTTGTTACTTCAAAACCGCGCAGTCCTTTAAACAAAAGGTGGTATTATGGACACCATCAAGAATGTCCCCAGTAGCCATGACAAAATGAAGGCACCAGCCCTGCATATGGAAACAAATCATGAATCCAACTCATCCATTGCAAGTACTCAACATATGGGGCAGTTAGATTGACAAGAACGGATATATAGCGAGGAATGAGCTAAACAACTACCAGGTCAGGAACACACCGATTTATAATAAATAAATAGGTAGAGAGAGTCATCGACTGAAATCGATGACGAACACTAATAGTATGTCATCTACGCACCCACAGAGGAAAGCTCGCAGTTGGCTTTTCAGCCGATCATGTATGAAGTATACGGTAGCTATGAGGGATATGGCTACTTGAAGAGTGGGGCCTTCTTCCGTTGGAAAAAGCACAGTGAGAAGTCCAAGTACTAAAAATGTGGTAGCTGTTTTTATGATGAACTTTGAGAACGGAGTCTGAAACCTGCTCATGACAGGCTGCACGGCGCGGGATTGAGTTACTTCCTTGACCTTTTTCTTGACATCAATTTTCGGGTTCCTCCTCTCGTAGAACTTCTGCATGATTATTTTGTCATGCGCAGATTCAATTGCATCCAAACTGGGCTTGTGTCCCGCATATTTTTGGAGGAGGAAATTCCTTGCGGCTTGAATTTCATCTTCGGAGGCCTCTTTACTGATTCCAAGCCGCTTATACGGGTCCCTTACATTTATTCTAGGAAAGATGGTCGAACCTGAAGAGGCCAGTAAAATAGGATGAAGTAATGTGGAGAACAAAACGACATATCGCGTCATTAATTAGCTCAACTTTTTCTTGATAAAATAAACCTTTTTTAGCTATGACAAATCATCAATTAAATCACCGTGAAAATCAGCCTTTTAACAGGCAAATACAAAACTGTTTTTAAGTACTATAGGTCCTTTCAGAATGACCTATTAGTCCTATGCGGTTGACATGGTGAACAACCATCAATGTGCATTCTGCACGGGAGTTCAATGGCACGCTCATATTAGGTTGATAACCATGAAATAAGATTTACACATTTCATGCTTTTATTCTGTAATGCCTTGACTCCATAGCTCGACAGAACTCAGGAAAGGGTACATCTCAAATATCAGAAAACACATAGTATGAGGAACAAATGACCTGGAAAATGTTCCCCAATGCAAATTCCACCATAAGGAATAAAAGAATGCCAACATGTATGAGAGCTTCAAGTAAAGACGGTAGTAAAGTGGGCATATATCTTGCTTTCTTGAAGTAGCTCATTACCTAATTCATTTTGAAAAAAATGCAAACAATAAGACTAGGACATAAAATATTAGGTACTGTAAGGAACGAAAAGTTACTCATATGATCTTCTAATCACTTCAAAGTACACCTCTGTTTTAACAATAGTCACCAGCTTTCACAAGCTTTTCCAAAATTGTGTTTCTGAGAAACTTTTTTGCTTCTGTCAAACTTACACCTTAATATTCCAATAGCTCTAGAATGAGAGAGAAGAAAACCTCCAACAATAAACTTTCTGTTTGTAAGAATCACAAAGGATAAAGCATTTGATACCAGTGGGATCGCTTTAAGAAGCATCCATCACAGACTGGATCACTAGAGCTTGATGTCTGCTGCAAATTTCAATGAAAAAATTAAATAAATAAGGTGAGAAAATTGCAAAGAACCGAACGGTTCATTTTCAATAACCATGAGAATATCCTCGAAGGAGCAATACCTTCCTCCATGCAGGGACGCGAACTTTCCTTTAGGCCTTGCAATAGAGATAAAGGCTGGGAATTCTACAGATAAAGAATTGCCACCTCGAGCAGGTATCAAGAAACATTTTGACGGACCAAGAGTTAATCCGGAGACAGTCATCTTTGATTCAGTTTGTTAGTTACCGGCGATCAGTCTGCAAAGTTCAAATTCAGAATGCATGTAATTAGCAGGATCAATTTTGCAAAATGAGTAGCGCGACGTTTCGCTGAACTCATTAACAGTACCTAAATCACAAAATACCGCATCACCTTCATTTAGCCATTTTTATATGGACAGTCAAGAAATGGCCTTCCCATGACACTCTCAAGTCATAGGGATTGTCCGTTAACATCATCCATTTACACCAATTGCACTTTACAAAGAAAGTGTTGACCTGACGGCACCAAGCATCATGGACTTCTCATTCATCAAATTCTCTACAATGATCATATGCTGCACCCAAACTATGCCTAAAGAATACACTAAAAATCTAGCTTTGTGCAGACTGAATAACTTGCATTTTTGCAGCACACACACCCAATGTTCTATCCCGAGGGATCATGGAAATCCTCAACAATCACAGCTCAAGGACAAGATCGATGTCAATGACCTCAGAGGGCCAAGAAAATCCGCCACTTTAGCGGGTCTCGCTCTTCTTTCGCAGTGCTTCGGTCCAAGAAAATACCGAAAGCCAAAAAAATAAGGAATTCCCAGCTCAAATAAAACCACGTTCATTTCATGACGAGTCTTTAACCAACGAGCAAAACTCAGAAGCAGCCATGAACTGAGCTAGCTTGGTTCACGCTGGTTAGCCGCAACAATCAAGAAAACACTGGGCAAAAGAAAAACTAAACACCCATTTGGTCCGAGGAACGAAGAAGCGAAATCGATTCAAGAAGAAACAGAGTGCCCCTACCCAGACT